GGACAGGGTCTAGATGCAGAGATGTCAGCTTCCTCCAGGAAGCTTCTTGGATTGTCCCTTTGCAGAACTCCCTGGCAGCGGGTCCTCTTTTAGTCCATGGGCTCCACCCAAGGTCATGGAAAGTCCATGTCACACACAGTCTCTCCTGAGGATCCTCCCATATTAGGATCTGCTTCTTGCTCACAGTCCTTGGTCCCGGCATGTCTGGGCAGGCCTGTCTGCCCAGGCGAACTGCTTTCTGCCCAGTGAGGCCCGCCTGGATCGTGCCTCCCTCCACCTCAGCTGCCTGAGCACTCAGAGAGAACCAAGCCAATCTTCACAGCTGCTGAGAAGTCTGAGGCCAGAGAGGGTCAGAGTCTCAGCATGTCAGGGAAGGGCTCAGGTTTGAACCTGGGTTTCCGGGCATCTGATCATGGTCAGCAGTAACAGGTTAGATGCATGCCAGGCACCAGGCAGGCTTACGGAAGCCGACCACACGGTCATGGTGACAGGGAAGGATTTGGAATCTCTGCAGGGCTGACCAGTACCACATGTGGGGGATGGAGAGATGGTGATGTAGAAACCATCCTTCTACCTCACCAGAGCTCACAGTGTTCCCAGCCTGGGCTGGACCATGGGGACTTGGTGAAGGATCAGATAGTCCCTGCCCTCAAGGGAGGGCTGGAGATATGAAAGAAAGGGAGAGGGCCATGTAGGGGGAATCTTGTTGGGAGCTACTTTTTTTTGAGTCGGAGTTTCACTCTACCCCAGTCTGGAGTGCAGTGGCATGCTCATGGCCACCGCAACCTCAACCTGCTGGGCTCAGGTGATCCTTCCACCTCAGCCTTCCAAGTAGCTGAAACCATAGGTATATGCCATCATACCTGGCTAGTTTTCTGATTTATTGTGGAGACGAGGTCTCACCATGTTGCCCAGGTTGGTCTTGAACCCCTGAGCTCAGGCAATCCTCTCACCAGCTCTCAAAGTGCTGAGATTACAGGCATGAGCCACCATGCCTGGCCTGGGAGCTACTTCTTATTGGGTGGGAATTTTCTTCCTGTATCTTGAAAGATCTGACTTTATAATTTCTTTATTCTCAGTGCCTGGCACAGAGTAAATTCTCAACAAGATTTTTTGGCATGAACAAATGAACAAACACATGACATCGACAGCAGATATGTTCTGGGAAGTGCATTCAATGTAGGAGGGTAACAAGTTGAGCAAAGGCAAGGAGGCGGACGAAAAGCCAGAGACTGGGGCTACAGTTGGTCAGGCATGGCCAGTGTCAGGAAGCGATGGGAGGAGCAGCAGGAAGCGTCACTGGGGAAGAGCCTCACACATCCTGCTGAGAGTTTGGATGCTGCCTTGGAGGGCATGGGGAGTCCAGAGATGGTTGTGAGCAGGGGGTGGACCTGTCACCATGAATCCACCCTGGGGGACCTGAATCACACAGTAGATGCTCACCTTTAGTGAAAACAGCACTGGCTTTAGAGTCAACAGGCCTGAGTCCACAATCCTGCACCAACCAGCTGGATCCTCTTGAGTAGGTGTTTATACCTCTCTGAGTCTCAGTGTCCTCATTTGTAAAATGGAACTAAAGCAGTTCTTCATGAGGCTGTTGAATGGGGCCTGGGCAAGGAATTGCTTTGCAAGCACAAGGCCCCTCCAATGGGAGGTGTCATAATTATTAGGAACAAGGCAGAGCTGTCTCCCAGACAGGGCCTGGGATCAAGTGGGCCCAGTACCCAGGCTGACAGGCTATCGGCTGAGTCACCTTTCCCTGAAATACCCAGTCTGGGGCAGCTGGGCCACCAGGCACAGGCCAAGGAGCCCCTAAGCTAAGGAGACAAAAAGAGGTGGTTATAGGAGCTGGGCCAGGCATTCCAGAGCTGGAGCCAGGAGAACAGCTGGGGCTGGGCTTCCTGGTGTCAGAGGTAGGCTGAGGGTGTAGGGCCTGGGATAGTAGGACCCTCAGGCGCTGCATTGCCGGGGGCAAAAGGAGAGCTAAGGAAACATGTTTTTTCTTACCTGCCTTTGCTCAGGAAGCAGGGAATGAATTTAAGGCACAGACTGGAGCCAGATGGCCTAGGTTTGAATTTTGGCTCTACTACTTGACAGCTGTGTGACTATGGGCAAGTTACTTAGTCTCTCTGTGCTCTAGTTTTCCTTATCTGCCAAATGTGGCTAGTAATAGATCCTGCGTTATAACTTTGTTGCAAAGATGAAGTGTGAGACACATAGCATGTGCTCAATAACTGTTAAAGTCTCCTGCCTCAGATGTACACACTCAGTCCTTAGGGGCCCTCCTTGGCCCTTGCTTCCAGGGGATGGAGGGAAGTCTGGGAAGAGATGCATCTAATCCAGGGTTCTCCGATCTGGCAGCAAATTAGAATTACCCAGGAACACTGAAAAATGCCTAGGATGGAGGTTCCAGGCATCAGCATTTAAAAATGTTCCCAGGTGATTCTACCGTGAGCCGCTGTGAGAAGCCAGCCCGGGATCTCAGAATGTAGAGCTGGAGGGCAGGGATCTGGTTGGGGAATTTCAAGAACTGGGTGAGAGTGTTTTGTGAACGGGCTCTGCATCCTACCAAACACTCAAAGAAATACACTTGCTTATTTATTTTATCTAGTGTAGTCACATTTCACAGATGGGGGGATTGAGGCCCAGAGAGGTGTAGTGGCCTGCCCAGAGTCACACAGCAAGTCTATGACAGATTGAGGATTCAAACTCGCTGAGGAAGGCTTGAGTTGAGGGAGACAGAAAATATACCTGGGATCTCAGCCACTGAGCTTCAGTCTGAGAGATTCAAGTAAGATTTAAGAACTACCTTAGGTTGAGTGACATGGAGGCAGTGCCTAGCATTGGGAGCTCAAGAAGTAGTGGTTGTGCCAGGTCAGCGTTGGCCCTTGACCAGGGCCTGAGATGGTTTCCCCTAAAGAACAAGTAGCTCTGACCAGTGGCCGTAGCAGAAACCTCCCGGCACCTGTGCTCCACCCAAGCTATCCAGAGTCCAGGCCTGAGCCGGCGACACACACTCGGGATGTATCAAGAGATTTGTGCCCTGAGCTCTGACGCAGACTTAGTCCTTACAATAGCCATCCCCTTTTACAGAGAAAACTACGAGGCCAAGAAAAGGAAGGGAGGCCTTTTGGGGCCCACCACCTTTATTTTTACAGTGTTCGTAAGTAGGGCAAATTGCCCCTATTTTGATGCATAAAATATGTTGGCCTGGTCCAGATCACTTACTCTTCACCTCACCTCTCCCAAAGTCCCCGGATATAATCCCAGGAAAGACTCCAAAAGGTAGTAAACCCAGAGGATTGAGGTAGTAACCAAGGAAGGCCTCCTGGAGGAAGTGGGCCTCCAAATGGTCCCTGAATGGTAAGCAAGAGGAAAGGATCTGGGAGGGCATTGGGGGTGTCGTGGCATGGGCAAAGATCTAAGGGTGAAAATGAGTCAGTCACTGACCTGAGTAGAGCAAGAAGTATAAATTGAAGGAATGATGGGAAGCACAGTCAAAGCTGTGTCAGGGTTCAGTTGTAGAGGGTCTGGTGTGTCAGAGTAAGGGTTGGTTCAGGCTTTATTGTACCTGATGATAGGGAGCCACTGTGGGTGTTTGAGCAGGAGAAGAAGCATGTCCAGAACTGTGCCTCGGAAAGAAAGGTGGGAGAAATTCTGGCATGGAGGGCCACCCCCTCAGCTAGTGGGATGGCCGGGGCTCTGCCAAGCCTGTGTACCAGGTGCCTGGACTGTGTCCAGGACTGGGCTCGGTGACTCAACGTTGAGGAAATCGTTCCTCAGGGAGAAAGGGCCCAGATGAATCACCCACGTGAGGTGGGAAGGCTGGGAGGCTGGGGGCTCACTGACTCACCCTCCAAGAGTCGGGGGTGGCAGTTGCAGAGAGAGGGACTGGCAGTGCAGTGGGCAGGATTCAGATTAGACCCCACCGAGGGCTGTCCGGGGACTCTGCCTTCCCATCGCTCCTGCATTTGATCCTCCCGGCAGTCCTGGGAGGGAGATGGGGAAACGGAGGCCCAGAATGGGGATGGGAAGATCCCACCAAGGTCATGCGGCAAGTCACTGGCAAAGGCCGAGAGAGCCCCGAGCGTGCCCTCCGAGCCAAACACGTCCCACCATCTCAGCCGCTCTCACGCAAAGCGGAGGCTAAGAACCGGGTCTGTCCCGGCAGGGGGCTGACCCCCGTGACCCCTCGCCCCTCGCCCCGCCAGGCTGAGGC